TTGGAACTCATTCCATAAATTTTGGATGTGGTATCTGATGCTAGCATTGCAAAAGTGATTCTGAAATTTTTAGTATAGGTTTTGTTTTTATACTAACGCCTTGTAAAATTCTATAGGTTATTTATAGTAATGGATGTGTACTGCCATAATTTTTTTAGTTACCTTTCTTAATTCCATCACAATAAAATGGATAAGGGTGTTTTTGTCATTAAAAAAGATAGTGTTTATATTTGCATTAAAAGACAAAGGCTATGTTTGTCATCTTGAGAATAATATATTTAAAATATTAATATAAGATTAAGGCATTTGCATTAATAAAGTACCTAGAACTTTACTCTATAATTACTCTTGTCTTTTAACGAAAATTTGAACAATATTTTTTAATAACAGAAATATCTTTATTCATTTTATAAACATTGAATAATTAAAAGGATAAGTTTGGTAATTTTAATAATTTACACCCTTTTTTAGATATAATCTATAGGATTTTTAGAGTGAAACTAAATCCTAATGAATATAGGAAGCAAAAGAGAGAGCCCTCACATGGTCTTCCGGCCTTTTTTTTCTTTAAAACAAGTATTTGTAGAGAGAAAAATGTATGTAAAACAATGTAGAGAGTGTGTTTTCTTTAGTTCTTTTGGTGGGTATTCTAGAGGGAAAAAAACTTTATTTTAGATTTAGTAAGAGAAAAAGAGCTTGAAAACCCTTGTATTTTTCTCAATAGTGGAGAAGTTTACTGCCATGTAGTTGTAGGCACTGGCCAACTACGTAACTCTCAGTATTTTACTTCTTTTAATTTTTTACATGATTTTTCTTCCCCTTTAGTTTTCTCAAAACCTTGGTCTTATCCTCTACAATTTGGGTGTCATCACAGTCACACTGCTAAGTTATTTTTGTATATTCAAAATTCTTCTATAGAAATTGTGTATTATAGAGTTTCTTGTCATTTTTTAAAATGTGTAGTAATGCTATTAAAGTTTTGGAAAATGGTTTGATAGGGTTGCAGCCTATCAAATTAAGTAAAGCCTCACCTCATAGCTTATAGAATATTACAATTCAAGCATTGGGAAATCTTTACATCGATAATCTTGATTTGAACATTATGTTCATGAAAAAAATTAAGATTTCAAGCTCAAAAAATAGTGTATATTGTAACAAATTATCTAGACTGTCAATTTTTTTTAAAAAAATAAGTGTTCATTGATTCATAAGATCTATACTATATTTTGAGTTTCAAATTTTATTATCAATACTGGAAATTGATTTTAGAGCCATTAGGGAGATTTTTATTGCCAAAAGTACTTTCCGAACGAGGAGTTGAGATGAGACTTTATTTCATTTTCATAAACCTTAGGCCTTATAAAAACTTCATCCTTTAAGTTTTTAGGGCGTCCTTGGCTGGATTGGGCATACAGATTCTCTTTCCTGCTGCGTTGGGACCTAGACTGGGAAATTAATTTGGGCCGGACCTAGACTGGGAAATTAATTTGGGCCGGCCAAGCCCTGGCCTAGCTTGAACACCGTTACGTCAAGTCAAGCCACGGCTGCCCAGTATTCAAGCGATATGGGGGCGAGCTGTACCAACCATTTTCTGTAAAATTGCCTGATCTAACCACTAACCACGGAGTTAGATCGAAACCGGTTAGGGTGATCAACTGGTATTTTGGGCGGTTAGGGTGATCAATCAATATTTAAAAAAAAAAAATGTATATAAATTTTCAAAAATAAAGAATTTAATTTGTAATGTATTTTTAAATATTCTTTACATTATGGTAAAAATTTAAAATATTTTCGGTCATTAATACTCACTTTTATATTTTTCCATCTTCTTTATAAAATTTTAAAAATAGCTCTTAGAAAATATAAAATGGGTTAAAATCCATTTTTTTCATAAATTTTCAACTTCACTTGAATGTGTATCATTCTTTATATGCTTTTCATATTTTACTAGATTTTTTATTTTTTATTTTTTTAACACTTTTTTGACTTCCCCGGACTTGCCCGATTAGAGCGGTTGAATCGTCTGGTTTACCGATTAAGCCGGTTAAAATGCTTTCAATCCCGTATCTGATTAACCGTTTTGGTTCGATTTTGTGTACACTGATACCAATAATATTTCAAAAATGTTGGGTAGATTCAATAATATATCTAGACCACCGAACTGAAATAATCTTTCTGTATCTTGGGTGGAAACCAAATCGTTTCAATGGTATTAGGTAGCGAGTGGGGTCGCGCAATATCCCAAAATATTTTCCTGAGGTGAAGCATGTGTTTATTTGGTCCTCGTACAAATTAAGTTAGGTGCAAAAAAGGGGGTATCCCATAAGAGCTTGGTAAATTGTCCCTTGAGTCAAAGGCGTCAGTTCCCTTGACGGTGTAACACACGTAATGGGTACGAGGCTGCAATTCATCGGGCCAAAAGCGTGCCACCAAGACTTGGTGAAGCCGTGCGGCAAGAAATGCCGGTCTTCTAAAGTAATGTAATGCGAAGTTTCTTCATCGTCGAGCCGTAGGGGTGGCAACGGGCCGGGTCTGGGGTGGGTCGCCCCGAGCCCTAGCCTCGAGGTCCAAGCCAGGTTTATGGGTTGACCTGGTCCACCTGACCCATTGCCATTAGGTCGCTTGGTTTTTATGTGATGCAAATTTCTTTAGGAACCGGTTTCAATATGGCCCGCATATGTAGAAATGCGGGCCTCTTAATAAATCTATTTTTGAGATGGATCTTAAGACCTAATTTTTAAGCATATGTAATATCTAATATGGAGATCATGAATATGAAAAAATAAATAAATTTAAAAAATACACAAAAATAGTTTTAGTAAGAAAACATTTAGACCGTCAGTTTCCATTATTTTTAGATGGATCACTTGCTTGTATCCATCTTTAAGATCTATGCTTTACATTTTTTGGACTGCATATGTAGAAATGCGTTCCAACCCGCATGAAACAATTTTCCATTTCATTATCCAAACTTCATTTTTTTGAGACTAACAATTTGCTTCAACCCAAAAATTATTTGTAGCATAAGTGAGCATTTACGTATGTTGAGTTATAAACAAGTCTATGTAGAACAAAATTAAATATTTTAAAAGGAAAGTATTACTACTCTGTAGAAAAGGTCTCAAAGTCCAAGATACGAAGTAGAATAATGGTAGAAGAAGACAAGGAGTGGAGGGACAAGCAGCGCAAGTTCAGGTTTTGTGGGATTATTTGTAAGGAAACAAGATCTGCTTTTTTAAAATGCAATGATGCTAGCGGCTTGCCCCATAACATAAAAGGAAATAAGTCATCCGAGTCTCCCCTTTTCTTTAACCCTCCTTTACATTTTTTTAAAGGACTCTTGTTTATTTTTCAACTTTCAAGTTAGACAAAATTCAGCTGCCCCTACTTCTCAAAATTTTTACAAAAGTATCCCTTAAGGGCCATTGGCCCTTTCGATAAAGAGAAAAAGTTTATATAAGGTTGCAACTTTAAAATGTAGAATTACATATGTACCTAAAAAATCTATCGAAAAGGTTGTTTCAATATTGGAAACCCTCTATTTGATCATCTCGACATTAAGATATATGAATATAAAAAAAAAAAAAATAATTGAGTCTCATAAATAGTGTATCTTGCAACGCATTATCTAGACCATCCATATTGAAGATTTTCATATGTTTATAGATCTCTTTGATTTTAATCATTTATGGAGTTTAAAATTTTCTAATTAGATATAAAAATATATTTTAAGATAATCTTAAGATTTTTTTACAACAAAAATTACATGTTACGATAAAATTTGAAAGTGAACCTTAATTGAATTGTTTAAGGTAGCAACCTTATCGAAACCACACCCTTAATAAAGAGAGAGGGATAAGTGTGGCAACGGGGCTTGGGCATCCTTGGAGCGTGGCCCTTGTTCCCATAGGGCCAGCCCAAGCATGGTATGCTAGGGTCGGGCCGGGCTGGGCTAAAATAAAAGAGTTGGGTTGGGCCAAACTGGAATTTGCGGTTCAGGCCCTCATTAATCCATTTAAAACGTGCCTCTAAATTTATCCCAACATGTAAGGATTATCTGAAAATCTGTTTTTATATTTAATTAGTTTAAACTCCAAAAATGGTTAAAATCCAGTAGATATATAAAAAAATGAAAATCTTGAAAATGGACAGTCTAGATAATGTGTTTAGGACTCAAAATATTTTTATTTTATTTTTATATTCAGATATTTGGATATCGAGATGATCAATTAGAAAGTTTTTCAACATTAAAACAACCTTTTTCCGATGGATTTTTTTTGTGTGCATATTTAATTGTAACCTTATGTAACATTTTTCCTTGGTTAATATACGTAAACGGATGTAATTTTGATTGTTAAGTGGGAAGGAGAGGGGGAGAGTTTCCAGGAAATTAATGTTTTCGTCGAAGTCCCCATAATAAATGAGCACGTAAGAGAGAGGGAGTAAGAAGATTGAATGAGTGGGATGAAATTCGTCATCGTAGAAGCACGTCAGTTGAATTTGTACTCCAATAGAAGACACTATCGTAATAAACCCGCTGTTCAAGTGGCACATCTCACGACCCCAATAAAAATACAATCTCCAAGTCCTCATTAGGGCCCACAAACGAAGAGAGGGAGGAGCGGTCAAAATCCACGAAATTCCGCAAGTTAAAAATCAGGAAATTCCGCACGTAGGTACGTAACTTTCTTTCCACAACAGCCCCCCCCTGCACGTCCACACGTGGCGGCCGTGGCCCCCCCATAGCTTAGCTCCTTTGACTCCACCGCGCCCGTCTTACTTGTTCACCACGCCTCTCTCTCTTGCTTCTCTTTCTCTCTCTTGCTTATCTATCATCCCTCTCTTTCTCTCTCTTGCTTATCTATCATCCCTCTCTTTCTCTCTCTTGCTTGTGTATCATCCCCTCTTTCTTTCTCTCTCTCTCTTGCTTGTGTATCATCCATCTCTCTTGCTTGTGTATCATCCCTCTCTCTTTCTCTCTCTTACTTGTGTATCATCTCTCTCTCTTGCTAGTGTATCATCCCTCTCTCTTTACCTATTCAACCTCACACCAACCCTCTTTTTGTACACACCATGTTCCTCTCTCTCTCTACACACTCTCTCTCTCTCTCTCTCTCTCTCTCCTCTCTATATCAGTCACCAGAAGTATCTCAAATGAAAAACTAGTAGACCTACTTCTCTCACTTCATATACCAGGAGAGTTGGAGGAAGAAGAAGCAGAAGCCCCTGATCAAAGCCATGTCTTCAGACGACGATGATAAAGGAGGTTCTAAGCAACCCAAAATGGACAGCAAGTTCATGCTCGCAGCTGTGGTCTCTCTCTTTGTGGTGGTGATCTTCGTGCTCCTCCTCAACATCTATGTCCGTTGCTTCATGAAAAGGCCTTCTTCTCGCTCTAGACAGCGCCCTGCCCATGGCCACCGAGCTTCCGTTAACATAGTTATCGAGCGATTATCGTCTCCGACAAATCAAGCCACCAATGGCACCGCCACCACAAACAAACCCGTCGGCCTCGATGCAGCAGTCATGGGGAAACTACCCATCTTCAAGACCGGGCCGCAAGGTGGCGGCGAGTGCACGGTGTGCTTGAGCGCATTAGAAGAAGGTGAGACTGGAAGATTGTTGCCGAATTGCCAGCATGTTTTCCATGTTGAGTGCATAGACATGTGGTTGCAGTCGCACGATACGTGCCCGATTTGCAGAGCGGGTGTGGTGCCTAAGATGCAGGACGCAGTGTGCGATGAAATGCATCCATCCGCACCACCGCTTGATGCCGATGACGGGGCGCGTGGGACGGCGAAGGCTGGGGCCTCCAATTCAAGGGGGATGGGATCGTTTAGGAGGATGCTTAGTTGGGACAGGTCGGAGAGGAGGTCCAGCAATGGCGGTGTGGTGCCCATAGAAGATGTAGAAAGGTGAGAGAGAGAGAGAGAGAGAGAGTATGGAGTATGAAGTTGGGAAGATGGGAGTTGGGTGCATAGTGGTAGGGAAAATTGGAGCATGGGAACTCATGGGTGTGTATGGTCTTCCATTGTGACTATGTGTTTAAAGCACAATAGAAACATGTTTTATTATCAGGCTATCACCATTACTATTATTAATAATATAATTTGTTGATATGATTTTGTTGTTGTTGTGGTAGCTTTTTTTATTTTGTTATTTTTATTTGTTTCGTTTTTTTTTTCTTTTTGCATATTTATAAATACTTATAAGTTTTGAAAATAGACTGACAACTTCTTACAAGACGCAATATTTAATATTTTAAGATATGAAATTGTTTATTTTCTTTATATCCATTCTTTATTGAGGTCGAGTTGATGAATTGTAAAGTTTTCTAACTTCCAAAAACTCTATTGTATGTGTTATATTTTGGAGAAAATTAGTTTATCTGACGGACCACTACTGTCATCCACCCTCCGATTTTGGAGATCTTTACGTTTTCTTTCTTTTTTTTTCCTCCCTTCAAATTTGGCATGCCATCCTCTTCGATCTTGGTGTTTAAGATCATGTTTGATAGAAAGATTTAGAATATAGAGAAGGCATTCATTCGATGAGAGATTTCCTCTAGACAATTAATATCTCAAAATTAAATTTTCTTTTTTTTCCTAAATTAGAATATAGAGAAGGCATGAATGGTCTAGAAAATTTGGGATGTAAATGAATTTTTCTAGAACCGCAATCTAAATCTTATAACTCTATTATTAGGAAAATGATATTCCATGTGCTTTTTATTTATTTATTTTCATAACCAGGTTAATCGGGCCTGAGAGGATGCATCCTTAATTTATGACCAAGCAAATATCCCAATGGGAGAAACATATGATTTTGTTTGCTCAAGTGGCGGGTTGTGGCCCGGGGATTTTACTCATCTCATACGGTACTGCACGAGATTTACATGACACTGTGTTCAATATAATGAAGTCCTAATTCACAATTGTAGGCAAAAAGATTTGTAGATAGAAAAATTAGGGTTTTTTTGTTATGATTTGAAAAATTTATTAGTTTATTATATATGAAAATTGTGGGCCTTAAGGATACAATAAGAGACTTGCCTATTAGGATTGGGAATCATGCATTACCACGCCAGTTCCTAGTCCTAATCGGCAGTTTAATATTTATGTTATATATAAAACAAAAACTTTATAACACTTAGTTGAATGGGTATTTTGGCTAGCATATGCGGCTGAAAGCATTTGGACTGGGGTTTGAACCTTCCCTCTAGTACTCCAATACCAAAATCGTTCAATTTCTTTTTTTTTGTTCAATTTTTCATTTTTTGATATTGCCTTATTGCCGATAAAGGGATTCTCGAGTTTATTTAAACAAGTCGAATTGGGATCAATGAGTGGTCGATCCACCCTATCGATATGTATTCTTAATACTGAGGTTCATCTCGTTCACCCCATATTTAGGATATTTTGTGTCAAATAAAAGATCACTTGATTCAAATAGTGACAATGTCTAACCAAATAAATTCCCAACACAAAAATTGGCAGAATATCGAAGGAACTATTGGAAATGTCTACATTGGGGCCAAAAGCATTCTCCTAACAAATCAAAAGGTGAAAAATCCCTTTAATATGATAAAAGGAAGCTTCCTGCCCAATCATGTCCAAATTGCCAATTAGATGCTCAAAAAATTGAGGCAGGGCCAAACTTGAGTCAAAGAGATCAAAATCATAAGCTGACTGTTAAATCCCTAATCCAAGGTACCTTGAGGCTATGCTACAAAAATCAAGCTAATTAGATACCAGAAGACCAAGATATGGCCTGACGAAACTCAAAAGTCAATCTCACAACATCGATCTAATATCTAGAGATACAGTATGACTAAATCCATGTCAATTCGGTTGAATTGGTGATCAGAAGGTTTTAAACCTCAATCTAAGATTCCATGAGATCATTATCCAAAAATCAGACAGACTTGACAGAGGATAACCAAAATATAACCCGACAAAGCTCAATCGTCCATCTCATGTTATCAATCCAAGCCCAATTTACAAAGCCTCAAGAAGAGATAAAAATATAAATGGCCCAATAACTTTATAGATTGAAGGTATTAATGCAACAAGGCTACAGTCCAAATTTGAGCCCAATTCGATATCATATGAAAGATATATATCTTCTCAAATGCCTTGAATTGTAGGCAAGATCCGCTTAAATTAGTCCAACTTTACAAAAGGAATGTAATAATAAGTAGCCAATAAGCTCCAAATTTTTATGAGATTAATGTGATGCTGAGAAAAACCTTTGGTAAAACTTTCAACCAAATTTGATGTCTAGAATTGCTCTTTTTTACAACATCTTTAGTGCACCACAAGAATGGCATGTAGAAGAGAAAAAACAAAACTATATTGTGTCTGTGGTTCATTATGATCATGGGAATTACAGCAGGCAGTGAAATTTTTTACACAATGTTGGGAGCCATATCTCTCAATTCCTGTAGCCAAATGAGTACAAATTTTAATATGTTTCTCCTTGCTTCTTAACTCAGATCGAGGTCGAATTGAGCCAAACATATTAGAGGTTCGCAACAACTAATGTATATTAGTTCCCATGACCTCCACTCACTTTTGTACATTGATTCGAGCCAAATTTCACAGGGAGTTTTTGATGGAGGGCGTCATTATTTTTATTCTTTATTTTTATTCAACTTTAAAGGATATAAATTATAGTTTAGTTTTAGGATTCATTTCTAGGATTCTTTTATTTTTATTTTTTAGGGATTCTCTAGTTTTTATTTATTTTTATTTGCATCATATGTATATTCATAAATGCTATTCACGAGTATTGTTCATAGGTACTGTTCATAGGGATAAAACTGTCATTACAAAATTTAAGTTTAAGTTAAGATATATAGACTGTTATAATCATTGTATAGACATGTAATATCTTGTAACATTGAACTATACTACATAAGAGGCGGGTGGGGCCTTAAGGGTCAATTCCACACGATTTTTGGAAATTGAATGAGACAAAAGATTAGGCTTTTGGAACCCTAGCTTGGGGTATTGAGAAGAAACCCTGGGTTTAATTGAATTATGCTTGTGTTTAGTTTTGTTTCTTGCTTATTTTACTGTTCCCTCAAATTTTCTTGCATCGAATTGGTTTTAGAGCCCGCGATCTATACAGAAGTATTGAGCATTGTACAAACTTACTATAACACAGATTTTTTTGGTGCCCAAGGTCAACAACAAAGCATGTAAGTCACAGTGGGGGTCTACGGTTTGCTTATTTTCACTAAGGTTTTTCTAAACAACCTAAATCTTGAGGATTTCAACAGTTTTTTGTTAATTATTTACCTAGGGTTTGTGATTTCGACAAATCTATGGTAGCGAGAAGGGGTTGTAGAAGGTGGATTTTCATATATCCACTTTGTGATCCCATAAATGATAGGATTGAGGAACTTGAAAGGCAAGTAATGTTATACATCATTTTTGATATACTTGTATCTTCGGGATGCATAAATAAAAAGCCGGTAGTAACCTGGTCCTGCGGGTGCCAAAAACGCTGCTAGATCACGTGAACACTGTAAACATAAAGCCTGATATTGGGTGACCTCAAATGAAGTATCAGAATAGCCTCAAATTACATAAGAGCATAGTTTTAGATACCCTAAGGACACTCATAAAGTTTTGTCTCGTTCTGACAAGTTTTGAGCCGATTAAAATGAAACTCAGTTTTCAAATCCAATTCATATCAAGCTAAAAATGAGCCATATAATTACATCACTATTTTTTGGGTCTCAAAAGAGTATCTGACCATTGTTATTGGATCCAGAATGTCAAAAAAACCTTAGATACCAAATTTCGGCTCAATCGGATCCTATATGACTATTTTGGGCCTAACTGACAAAACATGGTGGGTTTTACACTATTGCGATGCAACCTCGGTGAACCAATTTTCATAAAGGGAAATTGTGTTTTCTCATTTCAGAATGAATGTCAAATGCTCATAACATGCTCATTTTGGGTCCAAATTAGCTTAAATTCGGACATGAGCTAGATCTCGTTGATACGCTCGTTTTGAAATATGGCACGCATCATGACGTGACCAGAAACGAGAGAATTCTTAGAGAGAAGATGGGCTCAAAACTCAAAAATTCAGATTTTAAAAAGAGACACATCTTATTCTTTGGGAGGCTATAGCTCAAGATCCCGATGTCGAATCGTCGCAATATGGGTCCATTACAACCGTACTTCGAAGGACTTCAGTTTGATATAATTTTTGTGTGTGATCGGAGGCCAGATGATATCGAATTTTGAGGTTAAAGAAGACACATTTTTTTAGTCGTTGAAATCCCATTTTCCGATGACCTCCCAAATTTGGAATGCGCTCAAACAGATATTAAAATGAACAAAGTTTATCACAAAACGACTGTCATAGTATCATCTTCAATTTGTGATAAAAATGAAGTCTCAGAACATCATAGATCTTGCCAAATCGATGGTCAAAGAATCAAAACTTTATGGACTTGGCCGGATTTTGGGTTCTTCTTTAAAACTTTGTTTCAAGAAGATCAGTGGGTATCAAAATGTATGTAATAATCCAAGCATCGTATCTACAACGTTTGATTGCTCAAATTGCCACCGAAAACATCTGGAAAAGTTCTTAAGGCCTAACAATGGGAAAAGGCCTCTCATGGAGTGATGATTTTGTCATTTCATGAAAAGCGCTTAGCGTTATTTTGATCATTAATTTTAAAAATGGGATTAATATTTTTATTCATTAAATATATAATTTCCAATAATTCTAAAGGTTTTTAAGTATCTACTTATGTTTTGGGGTTACTCTATATAAGTAAAGTTAAGTCAAGTCATTTGTAAATAAGTTTTGAAAATCAATGTAAAGAGCTTGAGAATTCAAAAAGCTTAGGCTTCTTTTTTTCCTTTGATCCCAAATCCAAAACTCAAGGAGAGAGGAGAGAGAAATAATTCCTAGAGAGAAACTACCCCTAGGTACCCTTCACTCCCTAGAACTTCAAAATTCTAATTTCTTAGAATTCTACATTCCTTACTCCATACACCTTAGCTTTCTTACACCCTATCCTACTCCATACACCGTAGCCTACCCCATATACC